TATGCAATAGAAGGACTCGCTCCCCGTCCGTCCACCCGCTAAAATGCATGGTGACTCTCCGCCCGCCCGCTCGCTAAACGAACTGTTGTGTCTGTCCGATGTGTAGCGTGTAGTGAACTACTCTTCACAAGCGGACGGTTCATTACCCGTCCGCTCGTTTGCGGGTAGTGCTAGCGAGTAGTTCATTACTCGCGGACGCTGATTTTGCGAGCCCCACCATCTCTACAGGAAACAGCACAGAAATACTCACTGAAAAATAATACAGCAGTGGTCCGAATGCAAAGGAGTTTATGGAGGGCGAAGGCAGGCACAGCAAATCAGCCGCGGTCGACAAGGCCTGGCTCGCTCAGCGCGCTGAACACGAGTTCAACCCTCTACCCGTATGCAGACGATCATCGTCCGAAAAAACATGGAAAATATAAGTGAAAGGGAAAAGAATAGGGGTTGAAGTGAGCAAGATCATCTTTCTTAAATTGCAAACTACATTCAGGGCGCCATGAACGTAGCCTGCAAACTATGTTCGCATCGCCATGAACGTAGTCACTGCGATTCCGAAAACATTAAAGACAAATAAAATAAAATCATAAAGTATCTAAAAAACTAGAGTAATCGTACCGGGTAGCCCGGTTAAGATCTCGCTGCTACTGATGGGGTTGTCTTACTTCTTTCATGTATATGTTGTTTGTTTCGACTAATTTTTGTAAATACTCACCACCTGCCCTTTCATGGTTTTATCATCCATTTAACATTGAAGCAACGCTGAACAAACAGCAAAGACACAGCACAGCATTTCTTTCAGCTGCTAAGTACTCTAGTTTACTCTTCTATAGTTGTATACAAATGTCTATTTTTGTTTTTCAGTCCAAAACTGCTGCCTCAGTTCTACGGTACACTGTGCCAAAGATGCTGATGACATTTGGGGGAGCCTATTTACTATGGTATCATCTCAAGTATAACCAAAATGTAAGTTTTTGTTATGTTCATTTTCATATGTTTGGTTCTATAGTGGATTGTCCGTTATATTTAATAATAATAGATAGCATTTGTATAGCGCATATCCCCGCTCAACAGCAGGCTCTATGCGCTTTACACTATATTATTACCCCAGCAGACCATAGAACTCTCCGAAACATTCTCAGCTTCCCGGGAAGCACACAGTGCAAGCAGCCGATGAGGTGCTCAAACACTAGCAAACTGACAAGATCTTTCGCTGTCTATAGTCGGGTACCCATTCCCACCTGGTGAAGTGAGGAAAATTTGTGTAAAGTGCCTTTCCCAAAGACACAATGTCGGGCCCTTGACGGGATTCGAACCCACGACCTTACGGTTGCGAGTCCGAGAGCCTAACCACTAGGCCACAGACGCCACCAATTTTTCACTTGCATGGACACAGATGTATGTATGATCCTCTGCTATGTTTGCTGTGTAAAAAAGAATTGCATGTAAATTGATTCAAAGTTATTTCGGCATCAGTGTACAACCAGGACCCTATTTTCTGGGTAAACTATGTTACTATGGTGAACATGTCTTGCTCAAGGGCATGCTTCAGTCAGTGACCACCAAAGTTTGACATAAAACTTGGAGGTCAGACCTCACTAACAACAAGGTCACTGGAGTGCGCCCCCCCCCCCCCCCCCTCTCCAATGTTTTATTCCTTGTATTATTAATTTAATTTATTTTGCACTCTTTATTCTCAGGACTGGACAAGATCTGGAGGATGGGTCGTCTATTTTGGAAAACCTACCCTTGTTGGAGAGGTATGCTAGAAGGCTTTTTATTTTTATTATTTTTTGTTGTTGCATCTTGTGAATGTTTTAAAATAGATAATAGTCGCTTACCATAATTTGATTAGGCTCAAACTTTCCCTCTTTCCTTTAGACCTAGCAAACATGGATCTGAAAATGGGACAAAGTGGAATATTGGGGTTGGGAATAGTGGTCATAATGAAAGAATGAGAAAAAGTTGTTTCTTTGAACAGAAAGAAAAAGTGGTTTTTATGTTTGTTTTTATTTCAAATGGGATGATAGTAGAATGTTGTTCACTTACTAATTAGACCACTTTCATTTACTGACATCTCTTTCCCGAGTTAATTAAAGACTTTGTTGAGAATGGAGCCTATAGCACAAGAATTGTTACTACATGTTAAACCATAAGGCCAAACAGAGAAAAGGAAACTTGACTTGTATGATCGTTCACTTCATAGATCGAAATTATATGTTGAAAGGGATGATCAAACTTGACTTCGTTGTTCTAAAGAAATTAAATGACTTAAGTGTTTTCTTTATTGCTATCATTAAATGGGTAACTGGTCAAACTCAAACATGGTATTTTTGTTATGACTACATTATTAATTTGGAAGTCATGGGAATGGGCTCCCCCTCTCATTGTGTATAAAAGTATGAAATAAATACTGTGCAGGTATTGTAGAAACATATACTTTTCCAGTTAGCAGAGCTGCAAATCTTTAGGCTACTTTTTGGGGGGAACGAGTGTATTTTCCACACTTCTGTTTTCACAGTCAAATACTGTTGAGTAGTCTTAAACTGAGATCCCCCCCGGGCGGTGCTATTGACTGAAGTGTCTTTAGGCCATTCCCTAAGGAGGGACATTAACTTGTTTGTATGCGCAGTCTTGTTTGTAAATGGGCTGATTCATCGATGTCATGCTCTTGTTCGTATGCGCAGTAGAATTGTAAATGGGCTGATTCATCGATGTCATGCTCTTGTTCGTATGCGCAGTAGAATTGTAAATGGGCTGATTCATCGATGTCATGCTCATAACTGTGCCTGCTGCTTTTTCTTTCCGAATCCTTACTATCGTCATTTTCCTCTACTTCTTTTGTATGTTTGTCACACTCTTGTGACCCGCTATTTCCGGGATGCCTTGATAGTCGAAGCAGATTTTTTTGCTGTTGAAGCCAGAGAGTTGAGCAGAGTAAGTCTGATTCCCTGTAAGGACTTCTCTGTTGACATCCACCCCTTGGCGCTCATATGACCTTATGTAGTTGCGAGTGCCGTAAAACCTCTACTAAAACAAACAAAACTGAGATCTGTGAAACCGCTGGATTTTCTTTCGTTTAGCCGAGTTTTCAATTTAGAGAGGTGGCTCAAATTGGGGAAAAAAAGAAATCTGGGATTTTATTTTATTTTGGTTTTCTGCTGGTTTTGGATTAGAATCTCTAAGCTTGTTCTCTTTAAGCAGACTCCACTATATGTTTTATGTACCTTTGCCATCATCAGGGTTCACAAAAGCAGTTTGTCGAGAAGCAGGCCACAGATTACTTTGACAGAGGATTCAAGTCTAGGAAAGCCCTCATGTACCAAGACCCAGAGCCTTAGCCAGTGAAGGAACCTACTCCCAAACCGCCATCAGCACCACGCTCCCAGTCATGGTTTTTCTGATGCTATTGCAATTATCAGTTGAGCAGTTGAAGTTCACGGTTTACTTTCTTCACCTGTTAAGTGATGGTAATGTCTGGTGTTTTATGAAGAAAATAGAAAATAACTGATTGTGCTGGTTCTTCTAATCTATAACTTATTAGCTTGTGAACTGGTTGTGTTTTGAAAATCCATTCAAAAGTCTATGCAGTGTAGAAGAGTTCAATTTGATTCTTATAAAGACAAGTGATGGTCATCATATTTTTGCCTTATGAAGGAGTCTGATAAAAATATTGCTTGAGTAACACTTAGACCCTAGAACTGACATCATACGACTTGGCAGGGGAGAGAGGAATAATCTAAAGAGATTTTATGCTCTTAGGATATGAAATTTAATGTTATGTGCTAATACTGAATGTAGATATTATCCGTTTAGACGGATAGGTAAGAAATTGAGTGATACCATTGTGTACAGAGTGTATGTGCGTCTGTGCTCCTTCATATTTCCCTTTGTTGCAGATTGCAAACTTAGGAAAAATAAAGGTCAAATCTTATTATTCGTGTATCTCTTTGCTTTTATTGTTTTATAGTTTGTTGAAATGACTATCTTCGTGTTGTTCGGTCTCTTCATGTCCTGCCTGCTTACTCTGGGTTGTTGTTTTCCCACATTTCTTCTCATTTCTCTTTTTCTTGGTGGTCGGAGAGTGCCACTGTAGGTACTACTTCTTTTCTTTCCCTCTGTTGTTTTTGTCTATGTGCCTTATTTTTATCTAACACTGGTCATCGTCAGATATTGACGACCCCCCCGGGGCAGTGCCACAAACTGTAGTGTCTTTAGGCCATTCCCATAGGGGGAACATATCTCGTTCAAGCATAGTAGAATTGTAAATGGGCTGATTCATGTCACGCTCATAACTGTGCCTGATCTACAACAGGGAACTGCTGCTTTCTCTTTCCTGATCCTTACTATTGTCATTTTCCTCTACTTCTTTTGTATGTTTGTCACTCTCTTGTGACCTGTGACCTGCTATTTTGGGGTGCCTTGATAGTCGAAGCAGACTTTGTGCTGTTGAAGCTAGAGAGGTGAGCAGTGTAAGTCTGGTTCCCTGTAAAGACTTCTCTGTTGACATCCACCCCTTGGCGCTCATATGACCTTATGCAGTTGCCAGCGCCGTAAAACCCTCTACTATAAAATTTTTTTTAAAAATATTGACGGTCGGGCTATTACTATTACATGTATTATTATAATCTAACACTATATGTGGACAATCAATAAACAGCTGGAAAGAACAATTGTGGCGACAGAGTTGTGGTTCATGAGACGCATGCTGCGTATCCCATGGACAGCTAGAAAAACAAATGAAGAAGTCCTGGTTGAAGCTAATTGTAGAAGACAGCTTATGACGAATATATAAGAAAGAGACAGGCAAATTTCTTCGGACACACAATGCGGAAAGAAGCTTTGGAGAATTGCAACAACAGGCAAGTTTGGTGGAAAGAGAGGCAGAGGCAGACAGAGGGAAAAGATACTGGACAAGATGACAACATGGCTAGGAGCAGCAAGAACAACAGACACCATTGCTGCAACGCAAGAAAGAGGGAAGTGGAGGTCCATGATCGCCCACGCCAGTCGGCAAGGCACCGGATGATGATGAACACTATATGATCATATATTGTGTTCAAATGCTTCTTTTCACTTGACCTTGAAACTATAAGTAAATGTCCCTTTGCCTTGTTTCCTCTCATGTCAGTTTTTTTTTACTCTGTGGGGTCATCATGAAAAATTTTGAGGTTATGAATCAACTGCATGCCAACAGGTTTTCAACCTTTCATTACAATAATAATCATGAATGAAATGGTAAATCTCACCACAGCGGAACTCAGATTCAACGAAAACTCTGATTCAACTATAGGAGTTGGATTCCCCGATTTATTAATTCATAAAATTAAAATGTCAGTAAAAATATCTGGGAGTCAACAAACAGATAAATGAGCAAGCTTGGATTCAACGAAGTTGCTTGCAGGGTGAACTGCTCTATGCGACCAATCAATGGCCCCTTTCATACCAACACACGTGTTGTTATCACTATCACGCACCCATGTCTTAGTGTGTGTCGGGGTCGGACGTGCGGCCAGCACATGTGTGACTGTGTGCGTGTGTCTTTGGGGATGGAAGGAGGAGGTACAAACGGTCCACACAGTACTGATGTCCCTAACAAGTGGGTCAAAATAGCCCACATCCTGAAGGATCCAAATGTTATGACCAGTGTCTGTGGTGTAACTGTTAGGCCCCTTGCTGTCTCACAAAGGAGACCCGAGGAGGGAGACATTTAAAAAAAGTATTTCAATCCTTTTGCTGGTATGTTGTACATATTCCTCTCAGTCTTTAGGCCTCCTTGACGACAGGCAAAGTCAGAAGCCCGCCTTCAAAATTGTCTGAATTGTGTCAATGATGGTGTAAAACACCTACATTAAAAAAAAACCCAAAACACCAAGGCGACTGGTGTTTGTACGCTCAAATTTGGATAATGCTTTCGCGCAGGATGCTGATTTGCCTCGATAAATGGAGAAAATTTCTTTATCAGGTGAAAAAACTGCTCATGGCAGAATGCTTTTTTATTGAGCCTCGAACAGTGAAGGCAAGGAGCATTTTCCAGCTTTACATCCAAAGCCTCTTGGATGTTGTTTGGGTAAAAGTAAAAGTGGAGGACCGCACCTCCTCTCTGCCGTACACTGACAAAACGCCTTTTTCTTATTCACAGCAGTTTCTAGAAAACAACGATTTTCTGTTTTCTTATAATGTCTAATCTATTTTGCGCCATACATCAACGGTTGGTCTCACATCCTGAAGAGAATGTCGTTCCCAATGCTCAACAAATATTATTTTTTAAAAACCGAAAATCAGTTATTACTCGAAACTACTGTGAATAAGAAGAAGGCGTTTTGTCAGTGTGCAGCAGCTCTGTATTTGAGCCACTAGTATGTAAACTACCACTATGGAGCAATTCTCTCAGACCCGTTGTGTACACTAATACTAATACTGTTTGTGCTTTCCGATTTGGGTCCTGGAAGAAAAGGTGTCCAAGCACACAGGGAAATGCCAATGAGTCATTCTGAGTACCTTCTCTCATCTCACACCTGGGGCTCTGACTCTGACCTCTTATTGGAAAAACTATCAGCTCCTGGTATATAGTCAAGATTGACTTTCTTTTACAAACAATAGGAGAGAGAGAAGAGAGACAGAGAAGAGAAGAGAGAGAGAGAGAGAGAGAGAGAGAGAGAGAGAGAGAGAGAGAGAGAGAGAGAGAGGCTCAGCACCCGCGATTAAAGGGATACAATCTGTGTCCTTAAAATGTACTATGTAAACACGCAGCTATTTCTCTTGAAAGGTTTTCTGGACTTGCCGTGAGAATTCAGTCGGCTCAGACTGAACATGGTCCAGTCGACGTGTCGTGATTGTTTAATTTTTCTGCTAGTTACTCACAGAAAATACATTGATCTAAGTACGTTTACCGCCGTTTTATAATTCATTTGAACAAAAATAAAAAATCCGAAACAATCAATAAGTTATAAGTATAAAGTGATTTCTTCAAAGAACACTCACACACACACGCGCGCGCGCGCGCGCACACACACACACACACACAATCACACTTACAATCACACTCACGCACGCGCACACACACACGCGCGCGCGCGCACATATTCAAAAACCCACTGCAGGTTCTTTATTCATTGAATGAACAAAGTCATAATTTACGTTAATTAGAATTCATATTAACCCTCTCTCAATGTAGGCCTACTTATGTGTACAAGTAAAGTAGAACGTGAGAAATTATGAGCTAATAATACTAATATGAGGTAAGAGTTTAAAAAAATATCCCACAAAATAAAGTATAAATTTATCTTCTTCTTTTTTTTATTTTTAGAGGAAGATTCCAGTTTTTTTTAAAAAGCTGTCTATATTTTGACTTACACCGACCAGCTGTTTGAGTACAAAGAAGCACATCGACACAATAATGGTCATTTTTTAGTGCTGGAAAAATTAAGACAGACAGACAGACACAACAGAAGAAAAATGAAAAAGCATGACCCGCTAGTGGCGCCTTCCAACCATCTGCGGGAGGGTTTTTGATTTTTTTTTAAAAAGAAGAAAAAAAGCGAGGTCGTTTTTAATTTTTTGTACCGAAAAGCCTTCATGAGCCATCGTCAACTTCTTACATTCACACATTCCACCATGCCGAATATATATATATATACAAATTGTATATTAATAGTAATATATGGTCGCTTTATTTTAAGGACAGCGGGCTAACCCTGCTTTCGGGAGATTTCCAGAAATCTTGACCTTCACCAAAAGTGGGCATCGCCCTACCTATAGGCTATACTATAGGAGAAGTTTGCTTTCATTGGTGTGTATATTTGTTTGGTTATAGGGAAAACTCTCTTTGTCTTTTAAAGACACTGTTCAAAGGGCACAAACTTTACCTTCGATTTTCTTAAAGCAGCGTTTTTCGGGATAGCCCCTGTGCTTTAAAGTAAAGCGACCATAGACAGCCTCATGTTAAGCAACCCGGACCCCTGAGTTTATATTCAACTACACTGGAGATAGATTATATTGCATGCCGTAAGCTTTAGAGTAGACAAAGGTAAACTTTTCTTCGATGGCAAGTTGTTGTTGTTGTTGTTGTTGTTGTTGTTGTTGTTGTTGTTGTTGTTGTTGTTTTGTTCACTGTTGGAGTTTTGTCCGGTGTCCCTTTTTCGGGTGCCATGTAAGTTGTAAGAGATCATTTTCACACCTGACAATCATTGGCTATGAGTTATGAGAACGTGAGGAAGTATTAATCATTTTTCAACACTAAGGGGGAGCAAAAAGAGGATTTTAAACAATATGATAAGAATAACGACAAGACTCATAATTCTGGTGTTGCACAATTTCTTGTTATCCGTTGCTTTTGATAGCCTTGCGACAATAAATTAATTGTCTGTTCAAGTACGAGAATATCGAGGACCAGACCTACCTAACTGAGAGCATGCCAAATCGTGCTGATAGAAAAAAAAATGAAATCACCAATGTCTCGTGTATACAACCTATTGGTAGGCCTGCTGGTGAAAAGACACCTATCTCCTTGAGCTATTGAGCCTTGAGCCTATATTTTTAAATTATGTAGCCTTTTCTTCACACCATGAAGTATTCCGTTGCTTTATGAAAAAACATCATTTACTTTCCTTTCTTCGTACCAGAACTTTATCAAATCTTTTTCAGTTCCATAAACTGCTGTTTCAGACAACCTGCTTCTTTCAAAGGCCATCCTTTCAGAGTTGCCTCCTTATGTCCGTTGTATTTGTGTGGAAAAATAATTGCATAC